ATGGTTTGATGCATTTGAATTGGGGTGCTGGCAGAGGACATTGAAAGTACACAGACTGCCAAAGGAATAAATCTTTCCATGTTGGAAGGACACCCAGAATGCTTTTATAATCAAGCATGGTGAGACTTTGTCTCGTGTGCTTTGGTCACGCTATCTGGAGAGACTAGCCCCTGAAGAAGGACACCATGCCTGGTAAAGTGGACGAAGAAGAGAAGGCTGGGCTCAGCCTCACAGTGATGGTGAGGCTGGTGCGGGGGCTGCACTCTCTTGTCCGTAGGGCTGCCACGAGCCAGGACAGACTCGATGGCACCTAACACCAGCGGTACATGTGCTCGCAGGAAAGCTTTGTGCTTTCCCGGTTTTTATGAGTGATCAGCTTTCCCGGTTTTTATGAGTGATCAGATGTTAGTTATGTCATTATTTTGGTGAAAAAGCTCTAGGCATTTACAGAGCAATAAGGGCATATCATTATTTCTTTTCCAAGACACTTTGAAAGGCTGAGAAATTGGCATTTTGAGAAGTTAAGTAACTTAAAACAGCTGTTAGTATCAATAAGGTTAAAAGTCATCGGACCTATTAAAGAAATGTGCTGGGTTGCATACAGTATACTCACATGAGCTTCACTTTTCAAAATCATGAAGATGGATTTTTTAAGCGGGGAGAACTCCCTGCTCATTAGGAGGTGAATATCCCCCTCCCAAAGGAACGAGGAGCACTCATTTTGACTGAGAGTCGTTCAGAAGTCCCTCCAGAAGGGGTGGTGTGGGCAAGGGTGTCTCAAGGGAATTTAAATGAATTGATTATTTTTAAATTCAAACACTTATTTCAGTTGTGTACTGTTTTATAGTAAACAAGCATAAAACTTGTAGCTTAAAATATAACTGCTTATTTTTGGTTTGTTTTTCTGACTCTGTGACAAGGTTTCATCCTAGCACCCATGGAGTGCCTGTTTAAAGATCTGAATGGAGGGACGGAGGTCTGGCACATTGTCCCTGGCTGGAAGCATGGAATGCATTGAGGGCTGAGGGTCAAGCACTGTCCCAGCACCTTGATCTCTCCTTTTTAAAAAAAATCATTTTACTGGGGGCTCTTACAGGTCTTCTAACATTCCGCTGTTATGAGATCCCAGAGTATGTGCAGAAACACACCTCTTTCCTGGTTTGTTTGTTTTTTCTCCCAGTGTGTCAGGAAGCTGTGTGGGAAGCTTTCAGGATTTTTTGGGATCGACTTCCTGGGCGCGAGGAATACCCTCACTGGATGAATTTGTGTGAGAATGGAATCACAAGTATATTTGAAATGGGTGCGCAGTTCAGTCAATCTCTAGAGCATCGAATTTTAATCATGAAGGTAAGTTCAATAACAAGAGAAGGAATGGATGGGCTATTGTATAAATGCATTTCCATAATGAAGGCCCGAAATACAGGGGATCAAATGACGAATCCCTGGATTATGTTTCATTGAATTTACTGTACCAATGAGCCGCTCCAGGGAATGGCCTAGACTTTGGGTCATTAGCTCTAGCCTTTTTAAAGAAACCTTGCTAAACCAGATTAGAACCTCAGCCTCATTTATAAATGTAAATATCTTGAAACAATACCCAGCAAATCTGTGAGAATCAAATAGTTCTGCCAAAGTTTTGTATATTATTAACTAAGTATGAACACTTGTGACTTTAATTAAGATAGAGAATATAGCTCAGTGAGTAAAAATCTCTCAAAAACTCAGCACTACTGTTGAGTTAATTCCTACCTCTCGACCCTGTAGGACAGAGCAGAATCACTCCCGTGAGTTTCGGAGGTCGTACATCTTTATGGGGCTAGAATCTCATCTTTCTCCCTCAGAGCAGCGGGTGCTTTCTGACTGCTGACTTTGAGGTGAGCAGCCGGATGTGGAGCTCACTGCGCCGCCGGGTTCCAGTGGAAAGAGTGGACAGACTGAGAAACATGGATAGACTGATAGACTGGGGTGAGCCCAAAGCAAACTTCCAGGCTTATGAAGGAATGCAGATTTTGAAGGTGTACAGGCTTTTGAAATAATTTAATTATGATACCTCACATTTTAACCCAAAGCATTGGCTATTTTTCCTGTCATGTAAAAAGTTCTCTGTATTAATGGGTACCGTTTATTTATTCATTGTCTACCATGTCCTCAACTCCAAAAACAACTCCCTGCCATCG